AAGGTGGCTGTTCTTGCAAAAGCGGCCTTCCGGCGCCCTTTTGGGGACATTCGGCTTATTTTAAGCAAGAATGGCATCACCTGACTTATTTGTAACAAAAATTAAAATTTTGATATTTTTGGCTATTTTTGCAAAAGGGTGGTTGGACCCGATGAGGGTTGCCTACGTATCTCACATCCGGTGAGAATCAAACCAGCGTAGTTCGGGTAGATTGGGAATTGAGTAAACTAACTCCTTTTTTTTTCTTTTTATAAAACTCAGACCATGAAGCTTTAAGGCAAAAAACATTTTTGATTTTTTTTCTTTTGGAATCTTCTAAAAATGCTTTAAAATTTTTTTTGGGATTTTTGATTTTGAGTTTGATTTTATTTTTGAAAGAAAGACTTCTAAAATTTCTTTTCTTTTGATTGGAACTTTGGGAATTTTTAAAAGTAAAAAGAAAATATTTTTGTTCGAATTTTCATTTGTTCTCTCTTTTCTAAAGAAGAAAGAAAATATTTTTGGATTTTGGATGTAACCTCTTAATTTTCGAAAGAGGGACTTTTTTAAGAAAAATATTTTAAATTTCTGAGCTTTTATTTATTTACAAAAGTACTTCTAAAGAAAAGCAAAAAATATTTTGGACTTCAATTTTTCAAAAATTTTATGGACATTTATGAAAGAAAGACATCTAAGGAGTATTTTTGTTTTTTTGATTTTTGTTTCTGATTTTTTTTTTGGATTTTTTATTGAAAAATACTTCAAAATGAAGGAAACCCGTATTTTTGGATTTTGAATTTTATTGATTTTTTTTCTTCTTTTTTTTTTCGTATGAAAGATGTTAGAAAGAAGGAAACCATTTTTTAGTTTAAAAAACTTCTTTTTTTTTTGAATTTTCTAAGGAAAGATTTCTAAAGAAAGAACTTAAAGAAAATATTTTTGGATTTGTTTGAAAATTGAGGTCGGAACCGATGAGGTTTGCCTACGTATCTCACATCCGGTGAGAATCAGACCCGCGTAGTTCGGGCAGACTTGCCAAAATCAAATGTATATTTTTTGAACAACAATTTTTCATTTTTCAAATATTTTCCTTTTCCATGTTTCAAAAATTCGGCAGCATTTCGGTACTATTTGGGCACTGGTTTTTCAAGCGGTTACCCTCACTTAGTCCTAACACTGCTATTTTTTTCAATTTTCTCTCATTATATACAAGCCGGTCAACATGCAAAGCAGAGCAAATAAATGCGCAAGTAGCACGTAAGATGCATCAGGATGGTCTTTTTCATTTCGGGTCACCTATCCTAGACGGACCCAACCCCTATGTTGAGTCCCCTAAGTCAAATGCACATGATGCAAACAAACGCCCTACTAGGGATCTGGCATGAGTTTTTGTTCTTCTAGGTTTAAACCCTAGGTTTATTGGTCTAGACCTGGCTTACCCGAGCGGACAACTCGAGCCGAGGGGGAGGCAGCGTACCGGGGATACAGAAGCTCCGCCGGCTTAGCAACTTATCCAAACCTCGTTCTAAATAGGAAAAGACTCTAAACAGAAGAGAAGCTACACGAAGTGCACCCTTCTCCATGATGTAGAAGACTCAGAGAGAGGAAGGGATTTGTAACAGTTTATATATACAATTCAACAAATATCAAAGCGGTAAAACATTTAGCACATATAGCATGAAACATGTAGGAAAATCAAATAAGCCAAATATAACAATTATACTAAGCTCGAATTCTTGAACCCTGAACCGAAATTCTGGGTTCGTATCCCCGGCAGAGTCGCCAGAGCTGTCACACCTCCTTTTTTACACACCTACCCCGAAGGATAATGTATAAGGGAGTTTTTCCATTTAAAGTGACATTATTCGAAATGGGATTATTTATTCAATTTTTAGAGTCGCCACTTGGGATAGGATTGGCTTTTCGTGTCCCAAGTCACCGGTTTATCTATTCCCAATTCAGGAGTTCTTTTCTAAGGTTTATGAGTAATTTTATAAACAGTAAATAGTCATTTAATTATTTTTCTAATATTTTAAAAAATTAAAATCAACTAAAGTTTTGGTTGGTACATGATGATAGGCTATAATTGCATATTTTAGTCGCTTATTAAACTCGAATTTACTGCACTTTAATTGAGTTTGCGCTTTAATCGCTAGTGTTTTGCACTAATTGTGTGTTTTATGCCTTGTAGGTGTGATTCCGAGCTATATAGATGTTATGGAATGAATTTAAGTGATTTGAAGCTTTGAAGTCTGAGTAAAAGCTCAAGGAATTAAGCCGGGATCGTGTTCGGGGGTCAAATTTGATAATTAAGTACGAACGAAGACTTGAGGAGGCATATTGCGCACTGTCTAGTAAAATAGACATAACTTTTTGCTCAGAACTCCATTTACGCTCCACAATATATGGTTGGAAAGCTAACTCAAAGGGCTACAACTTTCATGTTTTATGTTTTTCCAAATTCCAAACGGAACAGGGTGAAAAACCGCGGTTCCACCGCGACCGCGGCAGAACCGCGGTAGAAGATGGTCGCGGACAACTGAAGAATCAGAGGGCATGTTTGGCCGCGGTTCCACCGCGACCGCGGCAAAACCGCGGCAGGAGGCGGAAATTTCAGGGACTTATGTGCAAAACACGGGATTTTAAGCCCTAAACCCTATATTAAACCAAGAAAGCCGGCCAAGAAAGGGAGGGGGACATATTTTGGACATAGATTCGACCTAAGGAGGCAAGAACACATTGGGAGCAAGGCGGAGAATTTCTTCTACGAGTTTTTCCTTCCTCTTCCTATTTTTCATTGTTGGTTATGACTTTTAGTATTGTAGTTTTACATACTATTATGAATAGCTAATTTGTTATCTAGAGTTTTGATAGAACCTTTTGTAGGATAAATTCTTGTTATGTTTTTATATAATTGAGCCATAGCTTTTCTCTATTTGTTCAACTACGTTTATATTGTGGTTGGTTGAAGAGCTCTCAATTAGCTGTGCCTATTTAGTATGCATAACTCGGGAGAGAGTGCATATTTAGGTAATTGTTGAACAACACCACTCCCAGAGTATATGAGGGATCAATAACCGAGGGTTTAAAGGTGGGATTAGGGATAACGAAGCCTTGGGTGCGATCTGAAGTGAGCTGTATTAAAAGCCAGCTAGCGTAGCTCGGGAGAGTGCATCTAGTAAATTGTCGTAATTACTCGGGAGAGATTTACGGTAATAAGAGTGCTCATGATCGGTAGAGAATACTTAGGCGAAATTATAGAAGACATAGCGGGAGGGATTCCGACAATAGAGGAAATCATAACTCTAGACCTTCTTAATCTTTTCTCTAACCCTCAGTATCGTTAGTTGTTAATTTACTATTTTAATTTGTTAGTTAATTAGTTAAACAGAAGAATCTTAATATCTATAAGTTAGGAATTGTTCAAGCTTGTCTTCTTGGTAATAGTGAACAGCTGTAGCTAAACCTTAGTTCTCTGTGGGATTCGACTCCGAACTTGTAAACCGGATTATATTTGCAACGACCGCATTGTCCTTTTTATAAGGCATAGTTGGACGTGATCAGTACACCATGCTTGAGAGTAATCTCAAAATTCATTGATTCCAAAGTTTCTAAAATTTAAGTAACAAGCTTAACTAAAAAAATATTGTAATTTAAAGAATATAAAAGAAAGAGAATGGTTGGTAAAAGTCAATAACACTAATGGTTCTGGTTACATAAAGAATCAAAAGTGAAATGTCGTACTGATTTTTATATTCCTTTGAACATAGAATACTTATTGAATAATAATTGTAATTAAAGACTTACAATTAAATAATTAAAAGTTTTAAATCAACAAAAACAAATTATTTTTTTTTAATGATAAGAACAAATTATTGAGTCCTTGAATCAATATAACCCGAAAAAAGTTTCTGAATTAACTAATTTGACCAAAAAAAAAAAAGAACAAGTAATCATAAATTTATCATATAAATCGTTATAATATAGTATTAAAAGTCAAATTGGTGAAAATACAAACTTTACGCAATAAAGATGAAACAATATAAGACAAATTAAAATGATACTAAGTGAGTTGTCATTTTTTTTTTTTTTTTTTTTTTGTATTCATTCAACAAATGACAACTCCCCATATTTTTCTATATATTAAGTTACTTACTATAAAATACTAACTTGATGTAGTCATTTTAAAACACTTTGCATGTTCTTTAATTATTTATGCTAGGCGCATATTTTAAATTTGATTTACATGTTCTTTCGGTATACATATTTTACTGATTGACCTAAGCACACGCGCAACACACGTATACTAAGTCTAATATAATATTAATTAGATGTCGAGCTAGTCTCATTAGCTACCGCCTTTTCTAAGAATTTATATATATTTCCAGATAATGGCACACCAGCTCTATATACACTTGATTAGTTGGAGAAAATTGTCACAGGTATGAGTACATAGAAAGAAAAAAGAAAATATATGTAAACTGCGCGGCAACACGAATTAGTGTGAATATGCTGCAAATGATAATAACACCAGACTACAAAGCAATTACAAGTCTAATAGCCTGTTTGACCAAGCTTTTTTTTGGCCAAAAGTATCTTTTTTTTGGCCAAAAGCACTTTTGGCCAAAAATTAAGGTGTTTGGCCAAGCTTTTGGAAGGAAAAAAAGTGCTTTTGAGGAGAAGCAGAAACAGTTTTGGAGAAGCAGAAAAAAGTAGCTTCTCTCCAAACACACTTTTTTGAGAAGCACTTTTGAGAAAAATACACTTAAAAGCAGTTTTTTACAACTTGGCCAAACACTAATTGCTGCTCAGAATTATTTTTCAAACTAATTAGCCAAACACAAACTGTTCCTCACCAAAAGTACTTTTGAGAAAAGCAACTTTTAAAAAAAAAATACTTCTCAAAATAAGCTGATTTTTGCAGCTTGACCAAACAGGCTATAAGTGAAAAAAGAAGGCAGCCCGTTACATTAAGCACCCACTATATGCGGGATCCGGAGAAGGGACAGACAACAAAAGTCTAAGTGAAAGTGGAAAATAATTTTCATTTAATTTACCAAGTCGTACCAAAACAGAGCTTGACCTTGCTATGTACAAGTACAACCAACATTCTTATGAAATCAGAATCCCCTAAATCATCTACCTCTCTCATTCTCTAAATGTACAAATAAATACAAACAAGCCCAATATCCATCTTCAATGAAAGGATTGAAGAACTAGCACTTGTAAAGATTTTTCTGACGTACACTAGAGACTAAAATCTGATTATTAATATAATCAGGTCTAACCCAAAAACCTAAGGTTCCTACAAGAACAATAGTTTACACAAAAACTCTGATGTCTGGCTCAGCATCCATCTCATATGACTTCTTCTGCAGCCAATTATCATCTTCTTCTTCTTCTGATGCAAACAATGCAACTGAAATGTCAGCCAGTTTCTCTCTGCTTAATTTTAACTTCCGAATTTTCAATTGCCTCGGAGCATTTGGCGCTTCAACATCATTGAATTCACCCAAATCCTCAATTGCATTCTTGAAACCAAGCGTCTTTCTTGGTGTTGCATACTCAAAATGCCACCTTTTTGCTATCACAGTCTGTTCATTTGGCAGTAAAGACCATTTAACTCATTAATAAAGAAACCAATCCAACTACTTCAATAGTGCAGAATGAATGTATTTGAATGGTGTAATTGACACTTACAGCTTCTCTAATTGTCCTTGATACATGAAAAAGCCTCTTTAAATCATCATGATCAACTCCACATACTATCCTTATCTGCAAAAACAGGGAAGAAGATTTAAAAAAAAAAAAAAAAAAAGTAAATTACAGTACCATTATACCAATACATTCAAAATATACAGAAAGGAGAATTGGGCTGATTATACTCACCAGAATATCTTGAGGCAAGGCTTCAAGAGGAGACTTGTCATCACAAAAGAAAAATGAATTGTGACTACATACTTTCTTCATAGGTGTTGTTATTGGACTGAAATCAACATCCACTGTAATTCTTTTCCTCCCAAATGAGGTACTTCTCACTAGACCCGACCCATAACTTTCACATTTCTTTCCCAATGCCATTTTCACTCAATACCTGATTTTTCCAACAAAACCATTCAGAATTATCCAAATCCAATGAACTGTATCTATAATCTAAAATTTTCTTCCCAACTTTGTTATTTGAACTTAATAACAGAACCTCATTAGCCCAAAACCAAATCAAACATAATGTATCTCTAAGATATCATTACTTAGTGTGTAAGCAGCAATATATATATAGATACGTACCTTAAAATTAATCCTTAATTTGCGCTGCAGTAGTAAATTAAGATTGGAAGTAACGGATGTTCTGAACAAGGAAACTAATGAACCGCCTTTCTACACAACTTAATTGTAGTTTGTACAGCACTTCATTTGGACGAGGGTGAAGTTCCCTTATATACACATGTCTTTTTTACTGTAAATTTTTTTACTTTTCTCTCTTATTTTGTTCAAAATATTATTTAAATGTGTAAGTGGATAAATATGTATGGCTGTTAAAAAAGATTTGATCTTGCCTAGAAAGGACTCGAATTTTCCCATACAAATATCTTTTGGGTTTTGTGCTTTAAATCTGAAAGAGGGAAAAAAACTAGCCGTTTGAGAGAGACACGTGGCAAGATGAGAGAGGTGGAAGGATTAACGTGGGTAGTTCAGATGACGTGGTAGAGTTGGTCGGTTCCATGATAGCATATAGGTAGCTTAACTAACACGTTCGATGCTCTTAGACGTTTTCAGTGGATACTATTAAAATCACCTGACACGTGGTTTTGAAGGAAAAAAGACTAAACCAGATACTGACACGTCATTGAATGAAGAGATGAACGGTGCGGATCTGTTGAGGAAATACACAGGAGTGTAGATGATGGTAATTGATAGTGACGGTCAAGTAAATTCTTCTCAGATAAGCAGAGTCTTAATAGGCGGCTGTTGCAGTTTTTAGATTATGGGGAAAGGGTCAAAAGAGGGTCAATGCGTTTACAAGTTGTAAAATTTTTACAATTTTATATTGAGAAAAGAGAATCCTATGGAGCCGTGTTAAATTCCAATATGGTAATAGATTTGAAATTTATGAATTTAAAAGTTTAATTCTCTTAAGTTATTATATTTTAAATTAATAATTTAAATTAAAATTATTGAATTTGGTATATTCGTAAATAGTATGCTAGCTTCGCCCTTGATAACGGAGACATTTGCAGTTTTACTTTTACAGAGAAAAAAAGAGAGAAGAGATTTAAAAAATCAAATTTCTTTTAGCATGGTAAGAATAGTTGATTAGGTAATAATATCCTACACCAACTTTGGTTTATAAATTGTTTTTAAGTATTAGAACAGGGGTGTTCATAAAAATCCGAAAAACCGAACCAAACCGAAAATCAAATCAAATTGACCAAAAAAACTGATACTTTTTGGTTTGGTTTGGTTTGGTTTTGGTTTTGAATTTTAAAAACCGATCAAATTTGGTTTGGTTTGGTTTTAATCGAAAAATAACCGAAAAAAGCCGAACCAAACCGACTATATGAGTAGCTATTTCAAATTTATTATATATATATNCGAACCGAACCATTGACACCCCTAATACTAAACCATTAATAAAAGCTTTTATATCTATGTAGTAATACGAAATAGCCGATAATGTAATAAATTAAAGTAATAAATAGAAAAGTTAATTAAAGCTATATAATTAGTTTCCTTTAATTTTTTTTTTATTTTTGGTTATACTGCATTAAAGATACAAAATAACAGTTGATAATTTTATTAAAATAATATGATTAATATTTTTTTTAATGTTATACGCGCATCGCGCGAGTTCTAATACTAGTATATATATATAAACTTATTAAATTTTAATAAGTATTAAATATCTATTCATAATTTTAACAGTATAATAAATTTGGCGGTAACTAAAGCCATAGTGTGGATTAGTTGGGAATATTAGAGGGGAAAGTGGGGCTGTTATCTAGGCATGAAGCTGAAAGCTAGGCATAATGATGGTCACCAGTGGCATTAAAAGGTTAGATTCTTTTTACCTTTATACTTTATGTGTACTAAATTATTTCTTTTGCAGATAGTAATCATAATTATTCCTAAATTATGCTCTAATCTGACATCATTAGCTATGTTTCTCGCGAACTAAATTAAGTACTCCATTACTTTTAAGGACAATAGACTCAGAAAACATCTTTGACGGGTTGAGTCATGACCCGCTAGTTATTCTATCTTAATCCAAAGCAAGCTTTAGGTTGTTTGATTCATGTAGCAACAAAGGGTTAAACTCTTTTACACTTTCAACTTACAATATGTTTAGCTAGCGTTGGACATCGATGAAAAAATGAGTTTTTAAAAAGAAAGAATTACAAGAAAATATACATAACTTCATACTGTAATAAAAAATGGCCCATGTTTTAAGTTTTACCTGACCTAGCCCATATTGTACATATTTCGAAAGCACTAGCAAATTCAAAATCTATGTTCTTACAACCAATGCGTCTAAAGGCTATGGAGTTAAATTTGTGTTCTCACAACCATTACTTTCACTCTCTCTTCTTCTTACATCTTCTACATATGCTTCAAGGGGTCGTCCACCATTACTGCTTCTCCCCCTGTGTCACCTGGTTGCAATGTAAGAAAATTGAAGAGTAGAAGTCCACCATTGAAGGCCATTCAAAGCTTTGCTTTCGAAAATAAGATTTTTTTGAGTTTGTTAGTTGTTTGGGTTTGGTATTGTTCCAATTGATTGAAAATATCAAAGGAGTTCAAAATTTAACTCTGAAGTGATTTGGAATAGATTTGAGCTAGATTTCAGAAAAAACGCAAGGAAGAAGACGAAGTTAGTTTTTTTATAATCTTGTATAATAGTGTATACGAGTGTATAAACACATCTTATACACTATTATACACTTTTATGCACCTTTATACAAGCGTATGTAGACGAACTTCTTCCACGATTTTCTGTTGCAATTCTTGTTCAAATCCAGTCCAAATCTCCATTGAATGACTTCAAAATCTCCATTAAATGACTTCAAATTTTATATGCAACCTCCTTATACTATTTCTAACAAGTCTAAAAACACCCGCTCCAAATTTCTCACAAATTAAATTCGAAATTTAAACCCACATATTTAAGTTTGTTAAAAATCTAATTTTCACCACCCAAATTAATTTGGTTTGTTGAACTAATATTTGAGTCACAGTTACTAATTCGAAAATTAACTTAAAAGCTTGGCAATCTTTTTTAAAAATTAAATAGTAATTTCGAGAACCTACTGGAGTTGAGATTAGCCTATTATTTTTGGGCTAGTTGGTTGTAAATTAAAATATGGGCTATAAAATTGAAAAATAGGGAGCCCAGTTGTTCTTGTGTGAAATTTTCCCTTTTAAAAATAAGATGAAAAATAATTTTTGAAAGTTGAAATTGTGTTTGGACATGCATTCTATTTGAAAAGAATTTAAAGTTTTGTACGTAGAAAACTTCAAAACTACTCTAGGGTTGTTTTGGGATTTGAAGATTTTATTTTCAAACAATAGTTAAAATTTATAAACAAACAGATATTTTAAAACAAAATTTGAAAAAGAAAATCTCAAGTTTTATGGCGAAAGGAAGTGGATAAAGAGTCAATAACGCCACAGGTCAAAGTTCCTTTTTTGCGGTTAACATCTTTTCCAACCTCAACTTGGATGTCTCTAAAGTGATGGTCCAAGTTGTGCTCCTATGTTCACTTTGATAGGGTACAACATCTTTCGTCATTTGCAACTCTCCCTTCTTTATTTGAAGCAATAGCTTCCACCTCTGGATCCTTTTCTCCGGTAAATTAGGTAGTTAAATTTTTCAAATATAAAAATACGTCATTTTCTTTTAAACAGACCAATAAAAAATAGTCTCAAGCAAGTTAGAAAACTTTTGAATAGATTAAGCTAGTTTTGTATTGGTCAAAATCTGACCGCTGTAGTCAGCCTAACCGAGATCCCGTCCAAGCGACAAGATAGTGGAAGACGACATGGTTTGCACCAAAATCCCGTACTCACAATACCCGTCTTGACAAGGAGCGGTACTCAGGGAACGACGAAAGCGGACGTAGTGCACAAGTGTATCGACCCATAGTGAGGATTCCATAGCTATATATAGGGAAGGAGTCGTTCATTAAATGGAGGGGCTTTTTTCTCTATCTTCCCTCTCCTCTGTAATCTTCTGAGCAAAAAGAAGGAAAAGTCATCTTCCACGGAGGATGAAAAACAGTTATCTCCATCGATTAACAAAAGAAGAATGGACAAACATCAATATGATTGATCATCCATATTTCATCTTATGCATTATTTTCTAATTTGTTTATAGATCTGGAGGTTATTAGATTTGGCTAAGATTTACCTCTTCATTCTCTTTAATTTATTTATTCAAAAAGGTTCCAATATCTTTTGAGTCAAATAATTTGGCGCCGTCTGTGGGGATTTCTTAGTGAAACTTCCTAGTCTCCTCCAGATAAAAAACCGGAAACATGATCACCCACCGAGAGGAACGGTAAGCGAATCTCACACGCCAACCTAGATCATGATGCTATATACAAGCAAAAGTTTCAACCAACATCATCCCCCGCACGCCGGGCAGCCCATGAACCAGTCAAAACAAGCCTGGCCCGCACAGGACAAAGGCACAAAAAAGAAGGGAAAGAGAATCGAATACGGTTACCAAACTCAGAAAATACCATCCCCGTCAACTATCGAAGCGCCAAGCAGAGCAAGTAACGCCACCGATCCACCTTTGTTCACCAACTCATCAGATCGGGATAAGGAGGATATCATCCTAACCCACCTTCTGCTGGTTACCCAAACAAGAACGCAAGCGCGGCACTGGCGAGCAAGCAAGGAAACAACCCAACTGAAGAATGGGAAATTATTACGGAACCACCGAAATAACGTCCACTAGACGAACCCGACGCCTCGAAAGTGATACCCTTCGAATGATACTTCCTCTCCCTCACCAAACAGGTGTCCTAAGAAAGCCTTCCTTAGGACTTAAAGATCGGGCCGACGAGGAGGAACTCCCCCCGAGGTCAAAGCGTAATTCTTCGTCCCATCCACCAATGACATCTCAAGACCGGAGAACGAAAAGGTTAGACAGGAAAACTCCAATATGTGTGTGAAACGAGTGTGAGCTAAGCAGCAACGTTTCATGCTCTCCGATATTACGCTCCCGATGTAAGCAAAATTAAGCAGACCGAGACTCACCCAAGAAACGCAGGAGCTAAGCAAAAATGGGACTCCCTTCTGTGTGTAAAACGAGTGTGAGCTAAGCAGCAGCGTTTCCTGCTCTCCGATATCACGCTCCCTGACGCAAGCAAAATTAAGCAGACTGAGACTCACCCAAGAAACGCAGAAGCTAAGAAAAAATGGGACTCCCTTCATTTTTGGTTCTAGTTATGATATTTTATGCCATAGTTTTCTTGGTTCAATTCTTGCTTCCGTTGCTACAGGTTTTAAACATTTTCTTGTTAGAGGCTAATAGTTGTGAATCTTAGCTTCCTTAGGGTTA